GCAACCGGGTCATCAAATGCACTGTCATCAAACCGATATGCCACATCTTGTAGAATTTGTTCCCAAGATTTATCCTTGAATCTGGGTTGCTGCATATAATGTCTTTGCCATGAGAAGGCTTTGCCATCCATGGATAAAAGCAGTAACTTCCCACGTTGTGCCATCGGGGTATCCTCTAATTCAAAAAACTGCTCAGCTTTTGCTCTCCGTTCCCGAAAGTTGGTTCCATCGAATGTAGGGAATTGAATGTGCGCTCGTTCTATTACTGATTGACTGGAATCTACTGTGTTTGTGACAGCTGCTTCGTTTGTCACGATTATGTTGCCACCATTGATGGTATTACATTTTGTTATAGATGACATCATCATCATCTTCTACAGGTATGCGTGTGACATGTGAACCAGTCGACGATGATTTATTATCGTTACAAAATATACATGTGTCACAGCATGTTTGGAACAAAGATGAAGACAGGAGACTAGTAGCACGACGTGCTGCTCCGTCGCGCAGTGGAATTGCAGAAGTTCCACAACAAATAATTCCGTTGCTAGATCAAGCTGGTTTCGGATGGATAGCGCGTCTGAATTATATCAAAGTTAGTCCTGGTTTGCTAACGGCTTCCGTAGAGCGATGGAGACCAGAGACACATACATTTCACATGCCATTCGGAGAGTGCACAATTACTCTTCAAGACGTTGGCATGCTTCTTGGTATTCCAGTTGACGGTGAACCGATCATATCTAGAGGCTAACCTTGGTTGCACTCACTCATTCACAATTCTCTTAGAAATTGCAGAGGAAACTGAATACTGAACTTCTTATTTTTCATAATCCAATTCTGTACAATAGGGTCTATTTATAATTCTGACTTCCCACAGATACCCTTTTCCCTGGAAGCAGCTGTCACAAACACAGTAGATTCCAGTCAATCAGTAATAGAACGAGCGCACATTCAATTCCCTACATTCGATGGAACCAACTTTCGGGAACGGAGAGCAAAAGCTGAGCAGTTTTTTGAATTAGAGGATACCCCGATGGCACAACGTGGGAAGTTACTGCTTTTATCCATGGATGGCAAAGCCTTCTCATGGCAAAGACATTATATGCAGCAACCCAGATTCAAGGATAAATCTTGGGAACAAATTCTACAAGATGTGGCATATCGGTTTGATGACAGTGCATTTGATGACCCGGTTGCGGAGTTAGCAAGATTGAAACAGGAAGGGGATTTGGGGGAATATTTGGAAACATTTGATTCTTTGCTGGCTCGTGTAGCAGTGACAGAATCCATGGCATTAAGTTTCTTTTTGTCCGGATTGAAGAGTGATCTAGAAAAATCCATCTGAGTCCACAAACCTCAGTCCTTGCAAGAAGCTGTGCATATTGCAAGACTCCAAGAAGAAATTCTTAAAGAATGGGAAAAGAAGATGCAACAAAGAAAAACTGGCAGTCTTGAAACACAAACAAGATACACAAGATCGTGGTCAGGACCAGGTACTTCTCAAAGGAGCCATTCCATCACAAATCTGCAACAAAACCATCCTATGTCATCAATGTCTTCACCGGTAACATCAGATTCTAAAATTAACACATCAGCTTCTATTTCTAGGAAGGAAGTTAGCGATAGGATTGCTAAGGGTTTGTGTAGATTTTGTGGAGATAAGTGGGATAAAAACCATAAGATGAAATGTAAAGTATGGGGTAAACTAAATGCAATTTTTTCTGCTCAAGAAGAAATAGCTGAGGATATCATGCAGGACAAGGATTGTGAGGAAGAACAAGCAATCGTAGATAGAAGCATAGCCATGATTCAAGATGAAGAGGTCCACATTTCACTCAATGCTTTACAAGGCATAGCGGGTGGCAATACATTACAGCTGAAAGGATTAATCAAACACCAGAAAGTACCTTTTCTGATGGACACTGGGAGTACACATAATTTTATCAGTGACAAGTGGGCAATGTCCAAGAATCCAACCCACCATCATTGCATGAGGTAACACCTTCGAACCCTATAAACTCCAATGATTCTAATGAGTTTGTTTCTGAAAATCTAGAAGCACAGGTGGACCAAACTCTTGATCTACCCATTGCCCTTAGAAAGGGAACTAGAACATGTACCCAACAACCACTTTACCCACTATCAAATTTCTTATCCTTTGAAAAATTCTCACCTACCCATAAAACTTTTCTCACTAATCTCAACTCCACACA